TAAAATAATACTCCTCCGGATTGGCAAAAATAGGACCCTTCCGGACTAGCAAAATTTAGACCCCTCCGGATTGGGACCCCTCTGAGTTAGTAAATATAAGACTCCTCCGGATTGGGACCCCTCCGATTTGTGAAAACAAGACCCCTCCGGATTGGGACCCCTCCGAATTTGAAAAAAGAAACTTTGACCCTTCCGGATTGGGAGCCCTCTAGTTTTGTAAAAGTAGCTTTTCGGAGATTTCCTTCTTTCAACCTATACCCCTCCGGATACGTTCTCCGATGCTATTTTGCTTTTTCAATTAACTAGGAAGGGTATGTATTGCTATCCTAGACCCTTCCGGATTAAAGTTAAGCATCTTATTTGACAAATCACGCTAACGGTGAAGGGTCTTATCGCTAGCCTAATTTCGGCTCGATTAAGGTTTTCCTGTGCCTTTAGCCTTCCCTTTTCGTCTAGAACAGCCTAAAGTTACTTTATTCAACCGCTATTACCTTTTGGTAGGGGTGTAAGGGCTTTCCTAAAAAAAAATTATAAAACGTGAAGGGTCTACCCTCCCAAATTGGTGAATTTGAAAAAAACAATCTCAAAAAATTTTCACGCTTATTTTTTCGAAAAACTTTTGTCTCTATCAGTAAGCTCAGCTAATTTCTGATCTATTGGTACCAAGATCAACTGGATATGCCCAGTAATTCCAAAGTTTTTAACCAAAACGTCTTTTTTCTAAAGTCAAAAATTTTCTCTCTTATAGGTTCCGCCTGACTTTTTCCGCAATTCTGTTCTTTTCGACCTAAAAATTATTGATCCGAGCTCAAAAGGCCTATACTCTTCTAGTTAAATGCAAAACACCCGATGTAAAACGCTTTAGTTGAAAAAATTTGCGAAAAACTATGCTACCTGTACCCCTCCGGATTGATGAATCCACCAAATCAAACACGTTAAGTTCGATTTCTCTGCAACCCGGAAGGCTTTCGGGTAGCGGGTTTTAAAACTTGTAGATTCACTAGTGGACGTTGTCCGAAAAACTTTTTTTACTGTTCCAACTCAGAAATTTCAAAAAATTTTCTGAATTTATAGTGTTTCGTTTTCTCAAAATTCACGAAAATTCGGTTTTTTGTTCCAAAATAGTTCCAACCACTTCAGAACTAATTTTAACCGGTTTTCTCTATTATGGTAGTGCAGTTAAGATGTAACACACTAATTTAGTGCTTTTTTCCATTTCAAAAATTATCGATATTTCAAAAATCGCGATTTGTGGGGGGATCAAAATATCGTTATTTTGACCCTAAAAACCGGTCTGCTTCCTGTGTTTTTTACTGAAAAACGATATAGGAGTATTAATATAGGCTACATAAGTAATAATATTAGTAATAGTATACCCCTCCGGGTTTGTTTAATATCCGAATTAAGGTGCTTAACTCGGTGATATTCGCAGTTCGGTGAAGGGTCACCACAGTGCAGCGCTGTCGAGCCCCCACAGATTTTTATCTTACTTTTTGTACCAAAAGGGATACAAAACTTGTTAACGATACCCAACAGTCGATTGATGATGTCGTTGAGCCCCTTGTTGTTGCTCCTTGTACTGCTTGCCGGATCAGTCTTCTCCCAAGACCCTTCCGAATTGAGCGCAAATCAGCTGACCCTTCCGGATTGAGCGCAATTTATCATTAACATGCTTAAATGCTCAAATAACCCTACAGTACAAGCCTCACAAACGGGCAAATTGATCATAACGATCCTGACTGATATAAATGCCTTTAACAACAATATATCTATCAACAATAAACGGGAGGGTCGGATCACATCTTGTCTGGGGGGATGATTTCTACTGATTTTTCACTTTTTTACTGTTTTTGGTTTTTTCGGTTATTTTTTTATGTTTTTTGTTTTTCTTGGGTACTATACTACTTTTTGTTTGGTTTTATATATATCGTTAAGTGTTTTTGGTCACAAACCTCTCAGGGAACGAGGGGATGGCCGATCCCCCCACCCTTTCTGATTCGTGAATTTTCGGTCTTAACTAGGTTAAAAATCTATTCACGGTAATCTGGAAGGCTTTCGCATTCCGAACTACCCTTCCGCCCCGGCGGTTTCGGCCTATTAAGGGCGTTAATGTGAGCATCCGCTCGGCGCGGAGTGCTCGTTCACGGTTCAGCCGGTCATGATGTTAAAAAGGAATAACACCCAGGAGCGCCATAAAAACATCTATGTAACATTCGCCTGGAAGATACATATCGACGGAAAATAAAACTAAGTCCTAAGACGACTGGCTAACGTCTAAACAGAGCTTTACATGTTTTTAACCGTCTCTACCAAGCCAGTACTTTCGCTGGTCTTTCTAACATCGGGTCGACAAAAAACGTTACTGCTTTCGGCTTCGGTCAAAACACTCAAATTAACTTAATTACATGCAGAAATAGTGAGCTCATGTCGGGGTCTCAGTATCCCCAGACCACGAGGTCTCTCCTAAAAACAGGGCTACTACTACTTATTGAATTATTATTGTTTTTGTTCAGTAGATAAAAATCATCATCTCCATCGAAGATGGATCAACCCTTTCCCCCAACTCCTAGCTTCTCATCTTAGTAGAATGAATTCAAATGTTAATCAAATTCAACTCAGGACATAATAGGGAAGCTAAAAATTTATACAAGTTAATAAAAGTTCCAGTCCCGAGACCCCTCCGGATTCCTGAATCCGGGGAAATAAGACCTTTATCTTCCTCCCGGAAGGCTGTCTTCCACCCTTCACCGTGGTTCGCAACGGCCTTGCAACTATTGTAGCGACACAATAGTTGCAACTCAGAACGGTCTCTGCTACTTCTGCAATTCGTTGTTGTTTTTCAATCATAATCTTCGTTGTTTTCGCTATCGCAACTAATGTTGTTGTGTTTTTCTTCCGGTTTTCTGCCAAAATGGCCGTTTCTGACGTTTCTCAGAAATATGACGTCATACTTCGAAAATTTAAAAATTTGAAACTCCAGAATTTTCTAGCCTTCACCGTTTGGCTAATCGTTCCAATGACAGAGAAACTATGACTGTGACTCATTGATGAATGAACTTATTTGTTTTGACCCATTGATGATGGAGTCAAAACAAAGGAGGGTAGATTTTAATTGACAATTCTCTGGATTCATTAAAATAGACTTGATTTATTCATAAAATTTTGTCGATGTTTTTATATAGCGTTGGTATGGCCCTATCCAACCTGTGCACGTACCTTCGCATGACGGAAGGGCTCATTTTAATTGACCCCCCTTTTATTGCTGATGTAGTTCATTTGTTTTGATCAATTGATGTTTCTTATTTCTTAATAAATTTTATATTTATATCGTAAAAAATTTCTTAATTGAATTTTTTACGATACTGGGAATCCAACTGCAACAACAATCGACACATAAGGTTTTTTTTTCTTTTTTGCAGATAATCAGAAGGTCAAAAGTATCATAGTAACCGAGGTTACAGTCATGAGTCCCTTCATCATGTATTCCAGTCAAAATCCTTGGAATTTTCTAGATATGGAAGTGATAATGATAAAAGAAGATGTCAAGTGTTTAAGTCCTTTTCATTTAAAATCGATACGGGTTACGCTTCTTCAATAAGAACACGCAACTCGACACGAGATAATATAATATACAAGTGTTACAAGTAAAAAATTTCGTCGAAAGTTATTTTGTCATTTATTGTTCCGAGTACGCAAGCGGCGTTCGCAATCTGTATTGCCAGGGAGATTCTCTGTTTTAAAAAGCTGCCTGCTCTGGGTTCCTCAGTGCATATGCTTAGGTTCTTACAAAGCTTGCTCAAAAAAACTTCTGTGCTGGGGCCGGCCGCGCCCTGAATTTCAAAAGCTAGCGGTTGAAAAAGATATCCATCATTTGCAAGATCTTTATATTTGTCAATTTTTCGCTCTTCCGCTTCAGCGGCAGCCGTACCAGGGTTACAAACAGACCCGGCATTAATCCTGCAAGGGGCTAAGGAGTCTACTACCGTTACATCCCACAAGAGCTGCTTACCATCAGCCCATGGAACGAGCGTCAAACCGTCTGGTCGCTTCTGATCGGTCCTGTAGAGGTGTCGTGGTTCTAAAACAGACGGAATGTGAGTAGATGATAGACTCTGCTTTATAAGGGCATTCAGGTTTGAATGCCTAGAGAATCTCCCTGCACTTTTGAGGCAAGAAAGACCATGCCAACCATCCTCGGTAACGTCTTTTCCGCACACGCATTTATGCCGTTCGCATATTTTTGATCCTAATCGAAGTCCTATCGCAATTCTGAGTTGTTGGTTCGACAGTTTTAACCTTAAATTTTTGCAGGGGATGACGTTCAACCATTGGGATCCAAATCTATCTTGGAACGCGTTGAACCTTTTCACGTCCGTTGGTTCGAGTCGTAAAATCAAGTCTGCAATTTCGCTGTCAAAAATTGGCTCCGTCCAATTTTTTTGGATTTCATTTTCCGGAGCCATTTCAATTTTTCCAAGGTCAAACCACCGTTTAAGCGCATCATCATAGGTTCCATCCACATGCTCCAAACCAAAGATTTCGCTCAAGGCATCTTTCGCTCCTACTGCTGAGGCTAAGAAAGCGGGTAAAGCGAGTAGACGAGCGGAAGAAACGCCCAAGCCACCTTTGGCTGCCGGGAGAACTGCTTGTAAAAACTGGTTATCATCCATTTTCACGTTAGTGACCTTGCATAACGAATTTCTTAGTAATTTATCGTAGCGTTCCAAAAAATCATTTTGCAAAAAACAAGGGCTCGTACGCAAAAAATATAGGCATTGAAAAGGAATTTTGAATTTTTTTTAAGTTTTACGAAAAATTGGTCTGAATTTTCTGCTATTTAGACTCCAAGGTTGACCAGTCTGAAGTCGACTCTGGGGAATAACAATATTTTAATACTCTTAGTCCTTCTCGAAAATATGCGAACACGTATTTTAAAGTTTTATCTACCCTAACAATTTTCAAAAAGATAAATAAAAAACAATAGAATTTGTTTCAGATGTAGCTATGCCAATGAGATTGAGTACATAACGCAAGCGATATGTTTTAATTATGCGTAGTCTTCTCAATCGTGGTTTTAAATCGCCGAGCGCTCAGATGGGTTGAGCTGTTTTAACCTTAGAGGTACTTGATAATGAGCGGACACTTCAATCTACGTGCTGCGCTGCTGATAAATACTTTGGGATGCGGCCTTGAAGTTTTAGCATGTGCTGGTTTTACTTATATTCCTCCTCTTTTGCGAAAAAGTGGGCATTCCGAAACCACTATGGCTCTGACCATGGGCCTAGGGCCACTGTTAGGCTTTCTTTTCGTTCCCTACATAGGTGAGTTGTAACTTTCATGTATTTAAAGTATGTTGAAAGTATGTGCTAAACAAACCGAAATGATTTTTTAAGGCGAAGCAAGTGACAATCTGAAGTCGAGATATGGCCGTCGGAAACCGTTCATTCTGTTCCTATCAATCGGTGCTGCTGCTTCATTCATAATCATGCCTTATATCTTAACTCTTTTATCAGGGTCGAGCGAAGTTTCCCCCAAAGGCTTTGATGACGAAAAAGAATTATTTTCAATCATTAGCAAAGGAGGGGGCACTGAAAATTCGGTAGCAATATTCGTTACGATTACATGCCTTGTTGTACTGTTTGACTTCTGTTCGCAAGTTGCATTAACTCCATTTGGTAACTATTTTTTTTGAACTATTCGCCAATTGATTAAAAGATCAGACTAAGATCAATGGAGAACCCTTAAAACTGAAAAGAAAGTTTTCATGAGTTTCAGAGATAGAAGAAACATGAATTGAAAAAAAAAATCTAAGCAGCATTTATGAGTATTAGTATTGACTTGTTGTTCCGACCACTATCGGAGAGTGGATGAGCTATGGCGCTGGTCTTAAGGTGTTTTTTCTCTAGCTATTGTTGATTCTTCACGCGATGTATGATAATTCAGCTTGATTAGTTGTGAATCGGCATTGAAAAGGAATTTTGAATTTTTTTTAAGTTTTACGAAAAATTGGTCTGAATTTTCTGCTATTTAGACTCCAATTTAGCGAAGAGCTCAAATTAGCTATGAACGAAGACACAAGTTGAACTCGTATTTGCGTTGTTTTTGCGTTGGACAAATAACATGAGTTGTTGAGTTAAAAATCGTTTATAATCTGTGGGCCTATCAGATGCTGATTGATTTATTTTAAAACCTTAGAAAATGCTACTATAAATCTGTGCTCTTGGAAAACGGCAACCGGAAATTCTTTTTTTCAAAATAGAGGCGTTGCTAGCGGATATGGGCAAACCTCTGGGTACGACAGGAAGTGACAAACTCTACCAAGTCTACTCCTTCATGATTGGGGTTGGGGGCGTAATCGGGTATCTCATCACTTCCTTGGACTGGAAAAAGAGGGCGAATTTCTTGTCATTCTTTGGGGCAGTAACTCAAGAAGAGCGAGTTTTCTTTGTAGTGTTCATCCTTTTTGTGATGTCACTGTTCTTCGCATTACGGTACTCAAAAGACGGGCTGCAAGCAGGTCGAAGGGTCAAATTAGACACAAAAAATGACGCACTCATCATCCAGAAAGGTACAGTTTTTAAAACGATTGCAATAGGAAAACTTTAATATTCGGGGAAGCATATATTTTTAGCACGTGAATTTACTATATTTACGTTTTGCTCGTTTCTTATTATGTGACAATGCACGAAGAGTGGTTTTTATTTTAGTCCCTTTTTTCAGGAAAAAAAAGTTATTCACGCTTCACTCATATTTTTTTTTTTCAAAGTTTGACTTTGAATTCTGTTCAGTTTCAATTCAAATTTACTTGGTAAAGGACAGGTGATCTTTGCTCTCCAATGACAAAAGTAGAAATGGTGCAAACAATTGTAAATGACCCTTAGCATCAAAATAGGTTCCAGTTTTTTTTCTGAAAACAATTGCTTTCTGATAACACGTGCGGGAGCAAGTGTCGTGTAATCGAGAACAAGACCTTTTGTTTCCCGAAAACAATTTTAATAAAGAAATTGTTCTTGCTTTATTATGAAACTCCAATGGTTTTGGAGCTTTGTTATATATAGTGTCAGCTTGAAGGTCCATATATCTGGGGCTCAAGTCTCAGCTGGACCATGTTTTTAATCGGTTGGTATGTATTTAATTATAATTTGTTTACGATTGATTAGTCTGCGGTTCAATTGTTGCCGGCTTAGTTTGTTCTTCTAATAATCAACCTAATTGCTCGAATGAAATTTTGATCAGAATATTTTTGTGCCATTCTCATTCCGAAACTAAATTGAACATTCTCATTCCGAAACTAAATTGAAAAATTTGACTCTGAGTGAATAGGTTGCAAAAAATTGTAAAGGCAGCAGCAGATTCTTTAAAATGAATTAAAGCAAGTTAATCGAACGAATCTGAGTGAGTAATAAGTTTCAATTGCCGACAATTTTTTGGCTTCCTAGTTTTCGACTGAAGCTGTTGGCTTTGTTTCAAAAAAAGGTAAATTTTAAAAGGGGCCCTTCCGTTTAGGTACGGTCGTGCACAAGCTGGATAGGGCCCATACCAGCATTATATAAATACATCAATAAACAATATTGCAGGAATTAAGTCAAGTCAGTATTTAATGCGTTGTCATAGAAGGTTTTTACTTCAACCGTCCCTCCTCTATAATAGCACTAATTGAAATGTATTAAATGCGTCTTACGCAGTGATCTGCTCCCCCGTATATGAAGGATAGCGCTCCTGAGCAGCGCGAAGCATATCTTAGTTCTTCTATAGTTTATTGTTTCTGAGTAGCTTTCATACCTTTTTTCGCTAAGTTTTTCAGCTATGCGCTGCATTGTCCGCTTAGCTGCTGATGCGGCACCACCAATGCAGCCATAAATAGCGGGTAGAAGCTGCTCTGTTCGACTTGTAGAACTCTATGTTGGTATTTTGATTTTTTTTGTGATTCTTGGTACTTATAGGCTTCTCTATTAAGTAGAGACTGAGAAAAACTTTGGTATCAGCAAGTTGTATTTGGCAATAATCAAACCAACATCGACAACTGAAATAGTTTTTTAATAAAACAAATAAAAAACTTTAACTGAGACAATGCTGTGTTTCAAAAACGTATGCTTATTTGTAGTCGTTTATAAGTTTGAATTTATGTTTTGCAAAATTTTCCTTGAAAAGTTTTCTGCTTCTTTAAAAAACATTGTTGTTTGTCTTTTTTGTTTTCTTATTTTGACTTAGTTTGCTGTATTACAAGTGGCGCGAAACAGCGCTTCGCCTCCGTCTCCATTTTTCTCCAACTTGGTTGGTTTTATTACACAAGCAAAGCTTGTGTTATAGTATGAACTATCTTTTTTCCAACCTAAGTAGCAAATATTGTTGCGACACAAATAATGTTGCGACAAAATGTATTCATTTTGAAAGTGTTCGTTTTGATCAATAACCCGCTATTAAGTAGAGCGAATGCTAAGGATATTAACTTAGACTATTATATTACAAATAGCACTTAAGCTTCAAGGTATCGTGAATCTGTAGCGTAGAGGTAGAAACGGCGATCAGCAACAAAGTAAGAGGGTTCAAACCTGGGCGGGGTCGGATTTTTTAGATGAACTGTTTTGTATACTAGTTAAAATGCGTCCGCTCTATAAATTGAGGCATGTTAGTTGGTAAATTTCTTTTTATTTTTCAAATTGACCGGTACTGTTAATGCGTCATATTTGGCTTGAATCACCTAGCATTTATGTAGACTCATAATTGCCCTGCGCCACTTAAAAAGTTTTGTTGATTCGAAGTTTTACTCATTCAGTTTTTCCCAGAGTAGTGTTATCGGTCATATTTTTGCTCGTATACGCGAAATGCTACTTCGCTTGTGTAAAAAATGTGAATATAAAAAGATCGTTGAAATTAGAAATAGCTGAAACGTGATCTTTTTCTTTGCGTTCCCTGGCTTATTTCCCACGGTCTGTAGGCTATGTTGTGTTGATTCTGTTCGGCACGTAGTTTTGCTTTTGTTCGGCGCCTTTTTACTTGCTATTGTGCGTCTGCGAAGTTGGCAACACATAAATATTTGATTCCAATGCACACTGAAAGTTTGATCAGAATCTTTTCATGAAGCGAAGAATCGTTTATGACTCTTAGGTTGGAAAGTGGATTTTAAGTTTGAGGTTTTCTGGCGGCAATAAGAAGAAATTTACCTATTGATCCAGTTTTCGCATTGTGCTAGTTTTATTTTAATGTGTTTAGCATAAAATACCTTTGCAATTTAGAGAGCTTTTTTTGATATATTTACCCTTGCTTTTTCCCCGTGAACAACGTTGTTCACAGAATGGTAATTTTTATTAGGTATGGTAAACTGGACCAGAATAGTAAGATTTTTCCACTTGTGACATGCTCAAATTCTTGAAATTCATATAAAACTACCATCATATAAGAAGTAATTGAGTAAAGACTGTTTCAGGTTGTAATTAATAAGTTTTTTTCGGTTCATGGTTTTCGTCCTAGTTTCAGTCGGTTCATTTTCCGTGTTAAAACGCACATTTTTAAAATCTGTTTGAGTTTTAATTGGCTTACTTTTTACAGCATGGGTTTTGTTCCAATTTACTCAGTTTTTTTTACAAAACTAAAAGTCTTGTAATGTGTAAATTTACCAAGTCTGATTTCGCGTAATTAAAACAAATTTGAATAGTTTAAACAGTTTTTTTCCGACTTGGTCATCTTGTATTGCGTAATTATGAAAGCAAGGTAATTTCGTTCAAGATTATGTGCTGCAGTGTGGATGGGTCGTAAAATTTTTTAAAACAATGAATATTTTTATGACAACAGCTTTGTTTTCGGCTCAACAGGTTTCGATTCAAAATTTGTCGCCTTTGTTACTCAGTGAATGGTTTCCAATTGTTTTTAAGGCTGCTTGTGAACTTCATCTGATACAAACATGAAGTTTTTGTAGCTGTAGTTTTTCCAACTTTTTCAAGTTATATTTTCAAGTAATTTTTTCAACTTAATTTTTCAGAAGTTTTTTTCGGCTTCTGTGTTTTTTCCACTGTCTATACTGTAGCGCAATGTGTAGCGTCACTTGAATTTTTTCAAGTTAGTTGATTACTTGCTGTTGTTCAATTCTGTCACAGGTTTTCATCAAAATAATTTTCAGTTTGAAACAACTGTTTGAAAATTTTGCGTGTCGTTTTTTGGCCTTATGTCAATTTTTTAGCGAGTAAATGGCTTTGTGTATCGCAAGTGGCGCGAAGCTCTGCTTCGCCTGTGTGTTTATTATTCTGATACTTGAAAGTTGCAAAAAGTATGTCAGTTTTTTCATTGACACTTCACCCGATCTTTGTTAGCTATCTTCTGTTTTTTTGTTTTAAGTTTATATAGAAAATGTCTCAGATCATAATTTATTGTCCGTTAGTTGTCATTAGGTTTTGGATTGCTATCGGCGTGAAGCTCTACTTCGCCTCTGTGTAGATTTTTATTTTCATTTAAGTTTTCTTCAGAGCAGGAATCAGGTGAGCAAAGTGAGCATCACCATTCTTCTTATACTGTCTGTTGAAACCTTTTGGCGACATCATACAAAGTAACCGACAAAGCAAATCATAGTGTCATAGGAACAATTTGTAGTTTTTCGACCAAATTGCATGTAAAATTCTCAGAACTAAAGTTCGGAACATTCAGCATTAACACTACAGATTTGATAAAATGAGTTACAACATTATTATGAAGTTTCGGTTTTCAACATCAGCTTCGTCATCGTCAGTCATCAATTTACACAAAAATAGATCTCACAAAAGAGGTTCATAATTGACGATGACAATGCCATGATAAAATGTTTTCTTATTTTGTTTTAACTGCCAATAAAAATGTGTTTTTTGTAGGCGAAGCGAAAGGAATTCCGACATTTATCAGTCGTGGTGTCTACTACCTGTGCCCCACTGGTCTTTTGAGACTCCTGCAGTTGCCAAAGTGTTTCACCCGGTTGTGTGTATTCCAGTTCTTCGCCTGGACTAGTCTTATGAGTTACAATCTGTTCTTCACTGACTTTGTTGGCGAAGCGGTGTTTGATGGCGATCCGACTTTAGAAGCCGGTCCTCTCAAAAATGAACTCTACGACGAAGGTATAGTCTTGCTTTTCATTGATATTAAAATTTAATTTATTGGGATGCTTTCAGCTAACCGAAATATCAGGAACTTGCTGGATCATTAAACCAAACACGTAAAAACTATATCAGTTTTGTATTCAAAGATCATGGAAATGATTTTTCGTGAGCTATGGTTATAAGTTCTAGGTTCATGGCAAGATACATTTTATTTCAATTTCAATTTTTGTTCTGCGAATAGTATGTATTGTTGTACAAATCTGAGTCTTCGGTTCATGCAAATAATGCAGTAAGCAGTATTATGCATTTGCAGTTTAAGAATCTGCCCCTCCTGTTTTCGATTTACTGGCACATCAGTTTTTAGACGCACCACTGAATTGATTATGTCCTATGGACGATATAGAGTCTATCATTGAACCTTGTTTTTACTGTGTGGTTTAAAATACTCTGGAATCAGTGAAAAAATTAATTTGTTTCAATTACAAACTGACTAGAAATCAATGCAAATTGGAAGTGGGACACGTGTTGATTTGTCGCATTGACTTGGGTTTAAATGTGGTATTGTTTTAAACCAGATTGAAAACCAATTTCTGCTTTAATATAATGGTTAAATAAACTGTTTTATAAGGCATTTTGCAATCTGCGGGTATATCTTTCTACAAAAGAAACTTTCTAATCTTTTGATCATTGTTGTCGAAACCTTGTACTACTGTTCAGCTAATCGTGGTTTTTATTCTTCTTTTATAGTTAATGCAAAATTTATGGCAATATCAATGACCTTGAGCTATTTATTTTAGGGAAAAACTAAAGCAATTTAGGTTTATTCATTTATTGTAACCAGTTTTTACGTGTGGAAATCAGTGAGAAACTATAATCCGACGTCGAAATGAGTAATCTTAGGTGAATTATCTTCGTTCAGATTCGTTGACCGAAACGGATATTGCCAACAATTTGGCTTTAACTATAAAAACTCGTTTTCATCTGATGTGTATTTTGATAGCCATTTTGCTTGCCTGCGTGTATTCATTGTGCTAAGTCTGTTTTTGGACGAAGTGCTCACATTGATTATGAAAAATCGATAAAGTGAAAATAAAAATGTGGTGTTTGTTGAGAACAGATTTGACTATTTTACACACACTTTTGTGTGACAATTCGAATTGGTATTGAGGTTTGCATGCTATTCAAGAACAATCTAAATGAAATTCTGTTTCGAAAAATGAATTTAGTTCATGTAAAATGGTTGTCGATATTGAGGATTTTGAGTTGTTTAATTGGTCACAAGACGGTGGGGGTGTGTCTTAAGTTAATTAATTTAGTTGATATTTTTTGCCTGTTTGAATGTGTGAAAAGTAGATTGTGACATCAAAAATGAGTTGTTTCAGGTTAATTAATTTTGTTCAGGATCGTATTTCCTAAAATATATTTAAAAAGTTTGGCACCAACGTTTCATACTAAACACCTTTAATGAAGTTTTGTTCAGGAGTGAATGTTGGCTCAATGGGTCTGCTGGCTCACTGTGTAACGTGCAGTGCGTTTCCTCTCCTCCACCGAACTCTACTAAGAGACTGGTCGGTAAAATTAGTCCTCGTCTCCACTCTTCTAGCATCAACTGTGGCTGCTCTTTGTATGGTCCTATGGCCTTCGCCTGTCACTATGGTCATCATGTCCCTATTCCCTGGATTTCTGATGGGAGCACTCTTGTCTATTCCATTCCATCTGCTTACAAAGTATCACGACAGGGAAGAGGTGAGGAAAACAGTAGATCATTTTACAATTGATGATTATTAATGAGTTTTGATGATAAGTTTGATATTAAAAAGAAATGGGCTGCTGTAAACGTTAATGAAATTGTCGATCTTGAATTTTTCGAATAAATAAGGTATCGACGTAGAAAAAGGGTTGGGAATGATTTGATCGCTGCGAATCTGAAAAGAAAAATAATTGCGACCAGTGTTTCGCGGTTGATGACTTTAAAGTCTTTTTGAAGCATAACTGAAGTTGTTTTTAAATGGTATCACGCTCGATCCCTTAACGAGTTGAATTACGTGTGCAATGGTGAGGCAAACGTCTGTAAAGCCACTAGTCTTAATTGATGCTGTTTTAAGGTCCCTTCTGAAAAAATTGTTTTATTGCATCTGGCTGTTTAAGAGTAATGAACGTAGTAGTGAAGACTCTTATCTCTTATATAAGTCTTGCTGATTTCTGTTTTTTTTAAAGTCTTAAAATATTGATGCACTTAGGTATAAATGCGTTTTTTGAGTTCAGTTGAAATTCATCTGCTGAAAGTGACGTAAATAGCACTCTTCGAATAGGAACGTGCAAATGGCGCAAAAACTCGTGAACGATTTCTAGTTTCGAAAGTGGAATTTAATTTTTGGTTTTCCAGTGGAATAAAAACTTACCTGTTGATCCAGTTTTCTCAAGTTGGGTTAATGTTATAAAAAAAAAGCGCCAGTCATAAATCGTTCCAGTAATTCAACGAGCTTAAAGGGCATCTATTTTTTTCTTTAAAATTCGAATGTTGAGATTTTTTCAACAAAGTCGGTGTTTTTTTCTATGTTTATTTGCGTTCATTGCGCTTGTCAAATCTTCGATTGGCTATGTTCAAATATTGAAAATGACACGTAACTGACTCGATGTGAAAACTGATTCTATGATACAAAGAAGGTTTTTGTTCTTTTCGGAACCATTCAAATTATAATTTTATCAAATCAATTAGACAAGCCAGCTTAGTGTTTTACGAGCAGCCACTTTTTTTCCTAATCAAAGTCGCACATTTAATTCTTTGATTTTTTTCTGACAGTTAAGAATGAAAGAAAGAATTTAGTTCTGCAAACAAGTACACGACATGATATCAACACAATCAAACAAATGCTCAAAACAAAAATTATTTATCATTGAAGTTTAGATTAACGAAAGGATAGACAAAAGGATTATTAAACTCCCACTGATAGCTTACCATATTCTATTGACATTTAAAAATACTGATGAAAAGTCATGGACGTTGTGAATACTCTTATATAGGTCTTTCGTTATTATTATTTTTTAAATCAAAAAGTCTTAGGTCTTAAGATTTGTTCACGCTCGAATTTGATGTTTTGCTTGCTTGACTTTTAATTTCTCATTCTCTTAAGTTGGCTCATTTCCTTGAAAGAAAGGAAAACTCCACTATCATACAGCAAAAGTTTCGAAAGTGGATTTATATTTTCAGATTTGCCAGCGGAATGAAAAATTAACCTATCGGTCCAGTTTTCTTAAATTGGGTAACTTTTTTATATGATTGTAGGTCGTGATTATTTTTTTAAAGAAAGTCTTAAAACTTGTTCAGATTCAAATTTTCTTTTTGGCGGTTTGACTTTTGATTTTTTCTAAAGCTCATTTCCTTTATTTAATGGAATGCGAACTCCACTATTGAAACGCAAAAGTGTAAAGATATGAAAAACGTGATCGACTTCTAGTTTCGAACGTGGAATTTAATTTTCAGATTTCCCAGCGAATTGAAAAAATTACTTATTGATCCAGTTTTCTCAAGATTGGGTTACTTATCAAAAATAATTTCAATCATAAATTGTTCTAGGAATTCAAAGAATCTTAAGACCATCTATTTTTTTTGTTTGGAGTTCGAAACTTCAGGTTTAAAAAATAGGTCAGTTTTTTTTCTGTTAAGTTGCGTTCATTGACTGTTTTCCAACTGTCTGTTGGCTATGTTCAAAAAAGCGTCAATCATAAATTGTTCTTGAAATTAAGAGATATAATGCAATGTGTCTTTTCGTTGAGTTTTGAAAGTTGAAGTGTTTCAAAAAAAGTCAGTCAGTTTTTTTATTTCCTTGCGTTCATGACTTCTCCAATTATGGAAACTAAATTTTGTTTCTTTTCTTATCTACTAATTCTATTTGGTCAGAAAAACTAATTTCTCAAAAGCTACATGTTTTGAGCCATCATATCTTTCCACTAGATGCACAACTAAATTGACCATCTCCCGTAATACTTATAAAAAAACTGAAGATTTTTCTCCCAAATTTATCAAAGAATTCTCAAAAATTCATTAAATATGCGATTTTTCTTAAACTAGCACGTATTGAGAAGTCACTTTTTTGGAGTAGATTCGGAGTTATATTGAACACTTGTGGTAGCTTTTTTAAGAAAAGTAATATTTATTATGGGAGTAGGTTTTCAGAATCAAAAATAACTTTCACTCCATTTGATTCAGGTGTTCATGTGGGACTCTGTTCATCCTCGTGGAGTGGGAACAGATGTGGCCATCCTCGACTCCATGTACTTCTTAGCCGAGTTCTCACTATCAGTATTCGACTCTGTCTTCGTATTCTTAGTCGGCTCAACTTACGCTTACATGTACGCTACAATAGTATTCGGGTTTGTAGCTTTCGGCTTAGCGTTCAACGTCGTATTTGATGAGTCATCACTTCCGAGCAGTACATTGCAACATATCAAAGCGGAGTCTTTATTAGATGGTGTTTCATTATCAGCTGGGGGAACTTCTGTTCAGAAACTGGTAAGTGGAAAGCATAATGGAAGCAATATTGTAGTGGCAAATGGAAACACAGATGGGCACAGTGACATAGTTTAATCTTTATATTTGGTTGCAGCGCTGTATTTTGGTCTATTTTTTGTTTCTTGTCTCTTCCTTGCAAAACTTGATTGCGAAATTTGCTTTGCTGAAGTCATTGAATATAGGTTAAAAGAAAAGCACTATAAGTTTAAAATCATTCTACAATTATTTTAGAAAGTACTGCTTCTATTTGGTAAGTAATTGTGACCGTGGTTGAATATTTTGTAGCGATGAGAAACTGAAAAATAACTAATTTATAATGCTGATTTTCTTTCAAGTGGTTTGTGAAATTGTTCCTTATTGCAAACTAAGTTTTCTGGTATAAAGTGAATTTTTTGTATATAGACAATAGACATTAGTGAACTGAGAAAATCTGTTCCAATAAATTAAGCCCTAAAATTATCCGGCTTGTGATCAACAGCTAAGGCTAACCAATGGCCATTTATCAGCCAACAAACGGGTCAAGAATGCTCATACGAGAATGTAACTCACCCCAAATGAAATATAATGATTAGTTGGTGTACACAATTTCAAAAAAAAAATTGAAAATTTGGTCAGACCAAAATAGGTATAACTATTTGTAATTTTATAAGTTCACTAATGTCCCTCAGCCTATTTTCTACTGCTAGGAGATGAGTTATAATATGGAGAAATTTGAATTCTGATAGTGATAGCTATGAATTTTGTTTCGTTATCATAATGAATTTCTTGCAAGTATGTGATTTTTGTGCATCATCAAATTGTCATTCAACTTACAAATTATATTTAGAGAAGTTAAACGGTTGAAATATTTTTTGTATTTTAGGTTGGTTTTGTAACCGGAATCGTGTTTTATGGTAAGCTTAAGACTTCAAGAGTCAAAAACGGTAATCTCAAAGTTTTCATTTTCAAACGGGGTGCAAATATGAAATTTGAAAACAGTTGGATTTTTTACTTTGGGCACACTTAAGTTTTCGGTCTAACACATTTGACCCGAGGTGCTAATTTGATGTTGTTTCTCTAATTAGGATGCTGGATAAAGTCTTTCTTGTATATTTCCCTCTGGTTTTGGTTTCGTATGTAGTAAATCGACCCAAATGAATTTCCCAATTGTATAAAATGAGGACCATGATCAAATCATTTCAAATTGTAATTTACTATTGTACAAACTGTTTTCAAAGAAAAAGCTGCATTTAGGAACCCGAGAAACGAAATAGGTAAGAGCGTGGAAGCGGAACGATTCCTCTTTTAAACAAATTTTGTGAAGTCTGTATAAATAACAACTAGAAACCTCAAAATATCACAAGAATTCTCCTAATTTTTGTTTCAAAATGTCTTCTAAATAAATCACCACTTTTAAAGCACCACTTGTTTGTTTGGATGTTTGCAGAATGCGTGTTTTGAGTTGTTGGTATTTAATGTACGGCTTCAAATTCCTTAAACGAAGAATTTAGGTACATTTTTATATCAACACAGGCAAGAACCCATGGCAAGCAGTCGAATAGGTCAAGCTTAAATCCGACATAAAATTAAATGCATACATGAACTTATCAGAAGTTTGTAAAAAAATATATATAAACCTAAAAAACTAATTCATGTTTGACATAAATTTTTTTGACATTTTAACAACACACGCGCTTTGATTAAGTTCGAAAATGTGAAAGAACGAGATTTTATCGCGGTGGAAAACTTCTCTTTCAGCGAAGAGTTTAGACAACTTCATCGCCTAAATAGAGCTGTCCTTGCCGAAACTAGGTTCATTAGAACCGTAGTATAAGATTCAGGTAAGCCAATAAAAGCTTCTAGTGTGAACTGTCTAGATGCACAGAAGTGTTTCTTAGCCATTGGAAAACTTTATTTGTATATGGTTCAATGGTTAATCGAATTTTGATTTGAATAAGTTTCATGAACTTAGTGAATACTCTTATATAGGTCTTGGTGATTTTTTTGTTTTTTTTATAGGAAAAAGTCTTAAAAACTACTCGTGCTCAAATTTGATTTTTCGATGTTTGATTTTTGGTTTATTTTTAAATTCAGTTAATTTCCTTTGATAAAATGGAGGCAATCTCCACTATCTAACATCAAAAGTCTAAAGGCGAAAAATGAGATCGAAGTTAGTTTCGAAAGTGGGTTTTAATTTTCAGATTTTTCAGCGGAATGAAATGTTTTCCCGTTGACCCAGTAGTCTCAAATCGGCTTACTTGTATCAAAATGTTGTGAATTATAAATTGTTCTACAAAATCAAAGAGCCTCAATGTCAATTTTTTTCTTGGAAGCTCGACAATTTCTTTTTCTGTTTCCTTACGGTCACGGCTCTTTTCCAACTGTCTATTAACCGCTATGTTTTATCAAATTTGAAATGAAAATGGACTGATTTCATAGTGAAATATTGAAAAAAGTTCTATTGCAATATTTTTCTGTAACTGGATTAGTCGCATTCAAAATTCAAACTAAGAGTCTTCAAAACTCAAAAAAAAAATACGTGTTCCTAAGTGTAAAAGAAAGAAATAATTTTCACTAATACAGGTCTTGATGATAATTTCATTAAAAATTTTTGGCTCTTTTTCCTTCTCCCCATCTCACTCTAAAATCATTTTAATGGCATAATGAGTGTTTTTACAAGGTTAATTATGAATACCAAATATGTTTGCCATGGTCTAGTTAGTCCGTAAGTCATTTTTCAGAACAATCACTATGTGAACAAATTGTTACTTGTATATGCACTTTTGAGTTCAATTTCATCTGCTAAAGTTGGGTAAGTTGCGCTCTCCAATAGCGAAAGCGGAAATGGCACGACAAAATTAACGTGAACGACTTAAAGTTTCGAAATTGTTAGTTCGAACTTTGCCACGAGAGGCGAATACGTCCAACAAAGCATCACAAAAAATTTTGAACAAAAATACACGGAAAATCACTTGTGAATTAAGGAACACTTTTTCATTTTTTTGTAATGAATACGAGCTGTTGACCCGAAATAAAGCTAAGCAACTGCCGGTGCAGTTTGATGCAAAGCATTTGACGTGGAAAAATTTAAGACAAAAAGATATAGCGTTACTTGAAATTTTGGTCGAAAAAAGGAATTTTGACTAGGGAAAAAGGGGATAGAGAAAAGATGTGGTTTTTTATTCATTGACCCTACATCAAAAGGTAGATAACTCCTCATTTTCAAAGCAAGCTGTCATGATAACAATAAAAAATAAGTTGAGAGTGGAAATGTTGGAACTGTTGTCTGTAATTTCTCTTGATATATCAAGTTATGGGAGCCATATTGCGTTAAAAGCTTGCAATTTTTTATCTCCGAGAAAACATGCTGTATTGGTAAGTTGAACGTTTTCGATACATGTAATTTTTTCAGATATAAATCAACTCCTGTATATCTGGCCGGCATAAATATCTAATAGTAGTAAAGTCCATGTCATATGTGTAGAATTTTCTTTTTCATCTATAATAGCCCAATTTTTCGCTGAAATTTAGCCTCATCAAATTTTAAAAAACATCGGAAAATATTTAATTTATCGGCCATGCTATTCAACCAGCTCATTTAGGTTGATATTTGACATAAAAAAATTTATTCAGAGTCGATGAATGTTGTGACGGCAACCTACATTATCGAACAGCAAATGTTTAAAGATACCGAAAAACATGATCGACTTCTAAATTCGAAAGTAGATTTTAACTTTCAGATTTTCCAGCGGATTAAAAGTTTGACCTATTGACACATTTTTCTCAAATTGTGTAGTTTTATCAAAGACAAAATTAAAACAGGAAGTGATTTCATACTCAAAAAGGTTTTATTCACTTTGAAATTCGAAAGTTGAAGTTTTTTTTAAAAAAAAGTACGCTGTATTTTTTTTCTGTTTCTGGTGGCTATGTTTTTGGATATGGTTGTGCTGAAAGTTAGTTAACTAAACAGGAAATATTTGGTTAGGGCTATTAATTGTTTTCATTCAGATTGAAAAATTTCTTTTTTGTTTTTTTTTTTAGCTCGGAACTGATTCAATTTTGTGAACTTTTTTGTTGTGACACACAAAATGAAAGTCTTTACAGATACAAAAAATGTCATTTATTTTTTGTGCTTGTAGATATAACGATTTTTAATAAAGCAATTAGATAATTAAGTCTGTAGAAAATTATGGATTTTTTTGGATATTCAGATATTTTGGATATTTTTGATATTCAGATAAGCATGTAATTTAAATATTCGCCGAAATAAATTTTAATTTGAGGGCTCGTCGCCACTTTCTGTCCTCCATTATTCTTAACTTTTTCAGCGCGTTCTTATAGCCAAAAGTGTGATATTTCACAATTTAAAGCAAGAAAATGCTGTCTGTTCAGAATGGCCTGTTTGTGGTTCGTACAATATTCAACTTCCCCTCACCACCCGCGCCTCACAAGCATCGATTTAACCAGTGGGTTATGGTTGTAAATAAAGTTCAAATGTGTTAGGAAATCCCTTATTAGTTAGCTCTCTATATTTTGAAAGTCAACTGGATCCTGTTAACAAGTTGTGCAAGTTAAAAACTGCAAAAGTTCTCAAAACTTTACAATAAAAGACATTCGTTGGTTCCTTCTTATGAAAACGAAAACGGTAGTTTTGATTGATTTCAGAACGCTAAAAGCTCCCCTGAAAGTTTGTGCTAAATGACTGATACTCTCCGGCAGAGGCTCCGTAAAAATAATTTTCAATTGAAATAATTGCAATAATTATTGTTTTTCGTTTCTCAAAAATTAAAGTAATTGATTTTGAACTTATTATAATAGCAATAATTTATTGCGGCAACCAAAATCATTGCAATTATCAGACTTGATTAAAATCCAAATATGAGCCAGAATTTTACCGACCTTACGCCCAAAGAACGAGATGCCATCAAAATATTCAAAAAATAACACCAATGGAACCAACTATTACCAAAATCTCATTTGCAGAAAAAATTTTGCGTAAAAGCGGAGCTAGTTTCAAAAATGATTTGATTTGTACAATTTTTTAATGATTTCATAATTTTTGGGAATAAAAAATTATGGCAGTAATTGAATTTCAACTTAAGATAATTTCAAAAATTAATTGCAGCTAGAAAATTTACACAGCAATTGATTTTCAGTTGCAATACTACTGCAATTAATTTTACTGAGCCCCTGCTGTCCGGTTTTGGGCACAGTCCATCTTTTGATATTTTGCTACGATATCTGCTTGCGTGGCTACGATACACTATGCTTCGACTTATCTTCTGTCGCAACACTTAGGCCGCTTAATCGTCCCGTTTTTGCTTTTCCGGCTCATCAGGTCCATTATCCCATTTCTAATATTTAGTCATTAGTCGCATATATTGCTTTGTGAACAAATTGTTGGTCCCTCACTTGACTATCAAATTTTGCTCATTGTGATTTACGCGTGAGCTACCTAATCAGAGCACAGCGTAGCTGTAGTCCCGCCGGGACAAGTAGCGAAAAAAACATCGTTTACAAGAGAGGAGCCGAACTCGCGATGCCTTTTTTTGGACGACTAATAATCACGCCTGGTAATCAATTATTGCCCTGGGAATGCATACTCCTTAGTTTTTGATTAGCATTGACTAGCCAGTTTCTTGAGCACAACTGAAACCAGGTTAACAATCATAATACTTTAAAAAATATGAGCTGTCAGTTTTTCTTTCAAAATAGACGTAGAATTGTTGAATTAAAATAATTTTGGCAAGTAGTTCGGTGATTTTGCGTCAAAAAAAGAAGGTGAGTGTCAATGTCGAAAGTTCGAACTTTAACGGATCACACATTATTTATGAACTTGTATCAGCCTGATTGTATCAAAAGATGAACTAACTGCTTCATCAATTTTTCATGCTCTTCCTTCAAAGCGAGATATTGAAATTTGACAAAGTTTGACTAAAAGGGCAGTTTTGATTGATTTCAGAACGCTAAACGCTCCCCTGAAAGTTTGTGCTAAATGACTGATACTCTCCGGCAGAGGCTCCGTAAAAATAATTTTCAATTGAAATAATTGCAATAATTATCGTTTTTCGTTTCTCAAAAATGAAAATAATTGAGTTTGAACTTATCATAATTGCAATAATTTATCGCGGCAACCAAAATAATTGCAATTATCAGTTTTGATTATAATCCAAATGTAAGCCACAATTTCACCGACCTTACGCCCAACGAACAAGATGCTATTAAAGTAT